TTCTCATTAAAATACAATCGCCGTTCGGACTCGGCATAAAACTGTAGGTCCCTCCGCTTTATGTGACAACATCAAGGCGCACGCCACAAGTCGGAGGAGAAGCTCGGCCAAACACTAACATATGTGTAAGCGCCAATCTATTATTATTATTATTATTCCTAACTAATCAATCTTTGTATGTTTATTGATTCCTGCAAAATTGGGCCATGTAATATTAATATTAACACATTTTTCCGCATTGTTTACATATTTTTCGATGCGTTTTGGCAGTTATCTCTCGCAGTTGCACCAAGATAACGTCACGCAAAAATTATGCTCAAAAATTATCTCTCATCGGCGCAATCTTGTAATCTATCATTCTGGTTGCTCTCCAGCAGCAGTGTTGCCGTTCAGAATTTTCAAAAAGGGGGTCGTTGACGAAAAAAAGGGTCACCATATTATTTTTGCTTTCGTTTACTAGTAAAAGAATAAATCTGGGAACCAAAGTCAAAATTAAATTTACATGTATTATAACGTCTTTTCGCGCTATAGCGTTCTGCTGTTGAATTGAAAAAGAAACAAGGGACAAGCTTTGCACAAAAGAGATTTGCAAACATACACAGAAATGGAGTCCTTTAAAAGTTTTGAGTGATTCATTTTCTCGTACTTACAGTAGGAAATATTTTTTAGTCGCATGGCTCTGTTAACATATCCTAAAAAAAATCTCTGAGAAGAGGCAAAAGTCGCACATAATTTTGGAAAAGGGTAAAAAAATCCAAATTTTCAAAAAGTCGGGTCAAAGGATATTGGCGCTTAAAAAGGGTCAAATTGTCCCTTTAGTCGCACAACGGCAACACTGTCCAGCAGTGATCAATGCGGACAACAACGTAGCTGCCACTACTAATACTTCGACGGGAACAAACAAAAAAGAAAAAAATAAAGCAAAAAATGCCACTGGATAAGCTCGCTACATACTAATAAATCGAAAGCGCACAGCCGAAAAAAAATGGAGAACAAAGTCAAAATATAATTTTGAAAGTAGTCACTTCAGGTACATCTACATCGGCGGAGAATAATCGTTTTGATATTCTCGCTGATATGAATAATGATTCTAACCAACAGGTAGTTAAA